CACACACACACACACACACACACACACAGAACAGACCCAGGTGCTCTGACTTCAGATCCCTGTTACCGTGAAGTCACGCCGTTCCCCATCTCCCCCTGTAAAACACAGTGCTGAGATTTAATGACCTCTAGGATCTTGCTGCTCAAAGTGTGGTCCCTGGACCTGCAGCATTGGCATCACCTGGGAGCTTGTTAGAATTGCTGAATCTCAGGCCCCACCTTGCACCTACCGACTCAGAATCTATATTTTAAAAAGACCTTGAGGTGATTTGTAGGCACCTGAAGTTTGAGAAGCTGCACCTTAAAACATATCCCCTCTGACACTGTTCTTGACCTCTGCCTGGTGTAAAGGGTCTTTCTCATTGTGACAATATGACTCCTTTGTACCTCTTCCTAACCATTCCATTGAAGTAGGGCTCGGAGGAGAAGTATTTTCTTGTTCAACAGACGAGGTTGAATGCTTCTCCACTACATGCCCTATGGGTCCCAGGAGCCACATGGAGGGTTTGAGGCAGTGGCTGAGCAGATCCTGCATGTGCCAGGTAAGGGACAGTTGTTGTCTGGGCAGGGCCTTCACCTAGGGAAAGACGCCTGTATGTATACCTCACCCAAGGGCCTTTGCACTGCCTTTCCCCTGCCAGGAATGTTTCTCACAGCTGGTTCCTTTCTGTCACTCAAATCTCTGCTCAAAGGCCGCCTCCCCAAGAAGCCTTCCTGACTCTCCATCAAAAGCAGTCCCCACTCACTCTTGTCACAATCTTATCCCGTTGGCTTCTCAGCATTTATTACTTAAATGATCTTAAAATTATCTTCTACAATGTTCACCTGCTGTCATCTTCGCTCCCCTCTGACAGATGGGCTCTGTGAGGGCAAGGCCCATGTGTTTCTGGTTTATTCCTGTGTCTCCAGGACCTAGAACACAGCCTGGTACTTAGTATACACTCAATAAATATTTGCTGAGTGAACGAACAGCCTGAAGCTCTTAGAAGAAGTGCCCATCTGGTGCCAATATGTTTCACAATCTAAATTACCCAGAAAAATAAATGGATGATTTATTTTATTTATTTATTTTTAAAATATAATGTTTTTTAATTAATTAATTTATTTATTTTTGGCTGCTTTGGATCTTCGTCGCCGCCCATGGGCTTTCTCTAGCTGCAGCGAGCAGGCGCTACTCTTTGTTATGGTGTGTGGGCTTCTCACTGCAGTGGCTTCTCTTGTTGCGGAGCACGGGCTCTCGGCGCATGGGTTTCAGTAGTTGTAGCACTCGGGCTTAGTAGTTGTGGCACAAAGACACAGTAGTTGTGGCACTCGGGCTCAGTAGTTGTGGTTCGCAGGCTCTAGAGCGCAGGCTCAGTAGTTGAGGTACACAGGCTTAGTTGCTCTGCGGCATGTGGGATCTTCCCGGACTAGGGCTCGAACCCATGTCCCCTGCATTGGCAGGCGGATTCTTAACCACTGCACCACCAGGGAAGTCCCGGATGATTTATTTTAAAGGGATTATTCTTACACACTTGAAGTAGGAAGCCATCTCATGCTTAGTGGGGGAATTGTGCCCCGAAAATAGCAAAAACAGGGGCATAGTATCATGGAAAACTTTCAGCCATGGGCTTGCCAACAGAAGAAGGGGGGATGGGTACAACCAGATGGGTACCTGGAACCTTCCAGAAGGAACAAGGATAGCAATGTATAACTTGTCTGCTTCCCTCTGTGCTCTCCATCGGGCATTGCAAAACAGGCCCCCGGAACACCTCTTGTCTTTTTCACAAAAAGAGAGAAATTGAGGAGAGGGGCTTTCCAGAGAGACTAGCAAAATCTCCCAGGGCCCCTGTTCATTCTGGAAATCCTTAAAGCACCCTCTGGGACTGGTAGAGCCTAAATCTGTCCTGGGAGGGTCAGCTACCCAATGGCCGGCCAGCCCATAATGCTTTGGGAGCGGCATTTATGTCTTAAAAGGCCACTTTTCGCGGAGAAATGCTGTGGATACATTAAGCTGTCGCCCGTTCTTTGGAGAGCCATTATTAATGGAAAACAATAGATTAATAGTTTTAAAACGCTTGTTCAATAAGTAATTTTTATGGCTCTGGATAGAGCTCATTAAACATTTCTGTGTGTTATTATAAAGAAGTTTTAAGCGTAAAATCATAAAGTCAATAATCAGAGAATTAGTCACAGCGGCCAGCCACAGGCCATTAGTTTTAGGCGCTGTCAGAGACACCTGTGGCTTTCGCGGGCGAGTTTCCTTTTCACACGGCCGTGCTGGCAGCGCCAGCAGCGCCAGGTGGGGTTGGAGAAATGACAGTGCCTGCTGCCTTCCATAAACTTGAGGGGACAGCAAGCAGGTGTGAGCAGCAGGGTGACAGGCAAATATTTACAAAGTGCAAACGTGAATGCAAAACTAAAACAATCCAGGTCAATTTGCACATCCAGGCTAAGACACTTTATTTCCCCAGTGATCTACCTTTCAGAGCTTCCCTCTGCCAGAGGCAGGGCCGTGATCGCTTGCTAAGATAGAGTTGGAAACTGCGTGCTTTTAAAAGAAAAGCATGTCACCAGAGAATCCCCTCCAGAAAGGCTTCCAGAGCTGTTTTTTGAAATAACGCATTCATCTCCTATCAAGTACACAACTGAGTCAAGCATTTGAAAAAGAAACCATGAGCTTTTAAAAATGACTTAAAAAAATCATGACAAAGCAGTATGCGATAATTATGGAAACTAGAGAAAATCCAAAGGAGATAATGAAAATTACCCATAATCTCTCTGCCCAGAGACAGTCCTCTGTATATTTCACTCATTCAACAAATATTTATTGACAGCCCTCTATATGCCTGACTGCTCAAGGCACCAAGGATGCAGCGATGAGCCAAACAGACTCCCTGGCCCCATGGAGCTGACTTTGGGTGGGGTGACATGAGCCTTAAATATAACAAATAAGGTTAGAAGGTATCAAGTGCTACAGAGAAAGGAAGCAGGGCCATAGGATAAAGCAGGTCAGGGTGGGCCTCACTGAAAAGGAGACATTTTTTTAAAATTTTATTTTATTTATTTTTTTATACAGCAGTTTCTTATTAGTTATCGATTTTATACATATTAGTGTATATATGTCAATCCCAATTCATCGCGCCACCACCACCCCACCCCCGCCACTTTCCCCCCTTGGTGTCCATACATTTATTCTCTGCATCTGTGTCTCCAATTCTGAAAGGCAACATTTTTGCAAAGACTTGAAGGAGGTGGGGGAGTGAGCCATGCAGGTATCCAAGAGAAGGAGTTCCACACAGAGGGCACAGCCCATGCAAAGGTCCTGAGGCAGGACTGGCATGCCTGAGAAATGGCGGGGAGACCAGTGTGGCTGGAGCAGTGCGGCTGGGAGGGAGATGAGGAAGTGGGAGAGGAGGTCAGGGAGGTGAGGGGGCAAATCACTGGGGCCTTCAAGGACTTTGGCTTTTCCTCGGAGTGAAAAATGGGGAGGTTTGAACAGAGGAGGCACATGAGCTGACTTAGTTTGTTTCTTATGTTTTTTTGGTTTTTTTTTTGGCCGTACACGGGCCTCTCACTGTTGTGGCCTCTCCCATTGCGGAGCACAGGCTCCGGACACGCAGGCTCAGCAGCCATGGCTCACGGGCCCAGCCGCTCCGTGGCATGTGGCATCTTCCCGGACCGGGGCACGAACCCACGTCCCCTGCATCGGCAGGTGGACTCTCAACCACTGCGCCACCAGGGAAGCCCCTGACTTAGGGCCTGGCACACAGTAGGTGCTCAGTTAGTGCTCAGTGAGGTGAGTAAATGCTGATTGACCATGGATCTGACATAGCATAAGCCCAGGACCCCTCAGTCGCATGGCCCATTACATGCCTACAAGACCATATGACTCTGTAAAATTTGCAGAAGTAAGATATTTTTATATTCTTTTTCTTAAAGAGGTCCTTCTCCCAAATTGCATGAGCTGCAGGCCCCATACAATATGGACCCCATCCAGGGAAGCAGGTTTCAAACCTGGGGCTGGAGGGGTGGGCTCATGCCAGTCAGAGGGGGAACTGATGCTTCTTTGGGGGCCAGGAAGACAAGGAGCCGCCCTGATTTAGGCGGTGGCCGATGGCCTGGGGGCTGGAGGGTGGCAGCTCCCTGGGCACACCTGTCTCTTTATTCCACCGCCTGGCCCCCAAGATGGTGTGAACTGCTCCACGGACCCTCATGTTTTCCTCTTCTCTTTTTCTCCTCACCTCCATTTCCTCTTTCCTTCATTTCTTTGTCTTCCTCCCTCAATCTAGCCCAGAATTTCTACCGAGGGGGTTGTGGTCCATAACGGGGGAGAAATTTCAGGAACTGTCCTCTTCCTTCTCTTTCTCTTCTTTTCTGCAATCACCCTCTTTGACGTTCCCCACCTCCCACCCCGTCAGTACACACTCTTCTCAGGCCCCACCACAAAGCCTCGAATTGGGTTCGTCCTCTGTGGCTGAATGAGGTCAGCCCCAGCATCCCCTGTGGGACCCACTGGTTTGACATCTTTGAAGCTCCATCTGGCACACGGTGAAATGAGCCAGGCAGTTCCAGAGTGGCCACATGCCTTTGGCTTAGTTATTTACCTCCTCTGAGCCTCAGCTGCTTCATCTGTAAAATGGGAATAAGAAAGCCTACCCTATGGGATCTTTGTGAGGATCGAGGGAGACAAGTTGTGAGCAGATGCTTGACACCTGTCAAGGGATGTTCAGGCACAAGCTGCTGTTCTGTCCGGACAGGTTGGACCTTCCTGAAATCCACTGGCCCTGAGGGCTTCCCTGGTGGAGGCTGAACTGCTGGATTCCAGAAGCTGGACCCAGGTTTTGATCCCCGGCAGCCTCAGCTCACTTCCTGGCCTCTTCCATGAGAACTGCCCAGCCTCCAGTGGGTTGATGTTAGTCATATTTGCTGTGAATAGTCACTGACCTATAATTGCAGCCTATTAACTGTGTTTTCCTCTTTCGTTTGCACACAGGAATTTTGTCCTACTTCTAGAAAGCAAATTACAGGTTGGAAACCAGAATATTTCAAAGGGGAGGTGAAAAGGTTGGAGCAGAGTGACTGCTACATAATGAAGTGTCCAGTGATCGTGTCCAGGCTGGGCCAAGAGAGTGTCCACTGCTGGTCCACATTCATTCAGCTAATGGGCTCAGAGGCCTGGGGGTGGGAGTAGGGGCTCCCAGGCTGGGCTTCTCTCCAGAGGCCGTGGCTCCTGAGCTTCAAGATGTGGCCGGGCCCACAGGTGGCAGCTGGAGGTGCCATGTGGCATGGTTCTTCTGCAGACATACGTGGGCCCTGGCTGGATGCCCGGGTCTGCTGTGCTGTTGTCTGAGCAAACTGGGAGGAGATGGGATGGAGTGGGAGTGGGGCTATTAAAGGTTCTGAACTAATATTCTCCACTTCCCATCGTCGCTGGCACTGGGGACAGTGGGAGGACGGGATTATCACCAAAGCTGCAATATTATGTCCTTGTGTTCTTTTTCTATCCGTTGAAAAAGTTGCCAGTTTGCATGTTCCTTCTTGACCTGGGTAGTGCCAAGGAATTATAGACTTTTAGTCATAAAAGTACTTCCGTTACAATCAGGTATAATGCCTCCATTTTAAAGGTCAGGAAACAGGAAAGGAGAAATGAAAAGAGGAGTTTGGCACAAAAAGCCTGCTAATGACAATCACCATTCACGCAACAAGCATTTATTAAGCACCTACTACATATGCCAGGTGCTGTGCTGTTGCTAAGGGAACAGATTTGAATGAGACGTGGAGCCTTTGCCCCAGGAAGGCTTTATAGCTGTGTTCTCATCTGGTCTGAATTTCAAAGCAGGTGTGTCTGGCAGGGAGCATCCCTGGACCACGGCTCAGAGGACCTGAGCTCCTCCAACTCTGAGCCCAGCTCACTGCCGTTTTGGGCCGATGGGCAGACCTCTCTGAGATTCCTTTGCTTCCCAGTCTTAAGGAGAAGGGGCAGAGTGGCAAGGCTTCCTCTGCCTACTTGCCTTTTTAGTGGCACAAGTGGCCACACTAAGCCTGGTGCTGGTCCTCCTAAGAATCGCAGAGTAGGACCCCAGGATCCCCAAGCATTGCCACCAGCGCGTTCCTTTGACATTCCAGCGCTGGTCACTCCTCCCTCTGCACTGGGCCTGTAATTCTGGGAGCTGCCGCCAGGGGGACGGCGTTGCCCGTGTCACGCGACATTGGGCTGAGTGGCTGAGAAAAGCAGGACCCGCTCCCGGCCCAGGGGCCTGCTTTATTTCCAACCACCTGCCTTTGAAGCCCGGATACCCAAATGCCAGCATCCTTCACCAAGCGAGGTATGGGCGTGTGCGGTGGCCCCAAGTCCCAGAGCACAGATGCAGAGAGGCGGGCAGCAAGTACTCAGCAAAGGATAGGTCTCCGCAGCCCAAGCCCCCCTCCTCGCCACCCCCTTCCCCCACCTGAGAACCCATCGAATCGACTGATTCATTCCTGGTGACCTGCAGCCGCGGCTTCCGTGTCTGCACCTTGAACTTGCATTAAGTTTTAATTAAAGCCGTTTCACAGGCCTTGCCCTTGGCTAAATGCAGCTGTGGGCACAGGGCACATAGATATTTAATACTCTGCCTCTCTCCGCTGAAAGCGCAGGGTGCCCAAGGGTGTACCCAAGCCTTGCCCGCTCCCAGCGATCCGGCGCACTCGCTTAAGTGTGCCCGCAGGCCCCGAGCGGGAGGCCGCGCAATAACTATTCATTGCCCTGGGTTAAGTGTGCCCAGGGGCACCCATAAGCTCAATGCAGTGATTAGCGATTGCTCCCAGGGAAGGCCTCCCGAAGTCCTGCGGCCCTAAATATAGCCTGCGCGTGGGGCCTTAAAGGGCCGTGCGTTTTTGCTTTGCTCTTGGTCTGTCGTCTCTTCCTTCTTGGAGCAGAACTGTCTCCCTCTTCAAAGCTCAGCCTCCGGGGGGCTTCCCTGCCTTCCTCCAGGCTGCAGTGGAGGACAGGAGTGGGAACGATGGGACAGCTTTGGTGGTGGCAAAGGCAGATGCCGAATCCTCTCCATCCTCTCGCCAAACCTCAGGCATATGTCCCATTCCTGCCCCTTCGCCCCGCAAGTGAAGGCAGCACCTCCAAAGACAAGGAAACAGCCAGGCTCACTGGAGGGGCTCCCCGTGGGCCATCGTGAGCCTGCTGCCAGGAGGGGCTCTCAGGGCCAAGGAGCAGTAGGGCTGGGGAGCTGAGAAGGCTGAGCTGCCTGGGGTGTCCTCCCGGTCCCTTTTGCTTCTTTCTGCTGCAGGGAGCCCCTCTCTGTCCCTCCGTATGGAGTGGGAGTGGTCTTGGGTGGGGGCATCACCAAGGCAAGTCAGTCCCCTCTGGCCTCATTCCTCTCCACATTGTATAGCGAGGGGTGTTGATCAGATGATCTCCGAGGGACCCCGGGCTGGTCTGTGACTCCTTCCTTGTGCCGAGACTTCCCTGCCAAGGTCTGAAGCAAATGCGAAGTGGAGTTTGGAGAAAGCAGAAAGAACTGAGAGAAGGGCAGGGTGGAGGGTGTGGGCTGCAGCAGAGGCTCCAGGAAAGGTGCCCAGCCCACACCATCACCTTCCCTTCGTCTGTGCATTTCTCAGATGACCGTCTGGGAGAACGGTCCCCCCCGTGGCGTGGCTGCGAGGTTCACAGGCGGTACGGTGACCCACCATCCCAGTTTGCCTGGGCCTTTCCTGTTTTGGCACTAAGTCCCAGGGGGACCTGCTCAGTCCCCAGGAAACTGGGTGGGGTGGTCACCCCAAGTTCAGGGCCAGTGGTGAAAGTGTCCGTCCTTGGAAGCCCTCCCTCCACCATTGCTTTTTGGATCTGAAAAGGAAAGAGAAAGGGCGAGGGAGAAATGGGTGAACTCGGGAGAGAAACAAGCTGGGAGGACTGGGAGAGGACCATCCCGGCTGTGCGCCTGTGCTCTTGGCCTTGCCAGCTGCTCCCGGGACCCTCGCCGCCCCCTTGGCCAGGCCCAGGGTGGCAGCTGAGGCAACGACATTTCCCTGGGTCTGTTGACACTGGAGTCTCAGAACGTAAATGATGTTCTTGTCTTAATGAGCAAACAACCCAGCCATGTGGCTCTCTCGCCGGCCTCCTGCTGGGGTAATTGTCAGCGCTTCTGTGCTCAGACAGAAATGTTTACTCTCACCTTCGCTTACTGCTTTGCCAGGAGATGTTGCTTCCTTTTTGTTCTGCAGGTCTCCCTGCCCCTACCCCTGGGAAGCACCAGTGGACAGGTAGGTGGGTCAGGAGCAACTTTCTGGAAGGTTCTGCCAGGTCTGGTGCTTGGGGACACCCTGAGGCAGGAGGTTTTGGTTTCTATTCTCCTTTGGAGAGTTGGTGGACAAGGCCAGCTCTGCTGGGCTCGCGTCTCGGCAGCCGAGGCTGGAAGTGTTCCCTGGTGTCCTGCAGGCAGAGGCCATCTGAGAGGAAATCTGAGGAGGGGTCCCGGCTTTGGGTTGAAGGCCTCTGAGGTCCTCCTCGTGCTAAGATTCTCTCTGCACAGTCTCCAGTGACGGGGAGCTCATTCCTTTGCAAGACCACCTGTTCCCATATTGCACAGATGTTTCCCCAAACTTTCCTTCTGCTGGTCCTCCGTTCTCCGCAGCCCCCTGGAAGGAGCCGGTCCCTTCTCCATTTCACGGCCCTTTGAATGTTTGAAGTCAGTGAGCTTTTCCTTCTTCAAGTCTTCTCCTGAATTCCTCTTGCTAGTCCCCCTGGGATAGGGGCCGGGGACCCCTCTCTGTCCCCCTCCCGCCCTCCAGGCACCCGCCTCTATTCAAGGCCCCGATGGCCAATGTCTCTCTGGAGCATTGCAAAGGGAACCGAGGCCAGGACTTAGACTGGGCAGAGTATGGGTCACCCTTTGGCCTTGCTAGTGGGGGTAACGGCTCATTGGGTCTTTCAGCCCCGTGGCGCACCTAGCATGTGCCCAGTGCCCCTACCAGGCGGGGAGCCTCAAGGCGTGGCACCCTCAGGGAGGCCCCGGAGAGCAGTCTGCCGGTGCTCCAGTGCCGATTCAAATGTCCACCTGGAGACCGGACAGATTTAGGCAGGCAGCTTCGAAAACTGGGCTCCATTAGTGTCAAGCGCTCCGCGTGGCAGATGAGCGGCTCCTGCAATCACGCATTCAGCTCGTCGTCCTGATCATGGTGGCAGGAGCGTAATTACCATCTCTTTAAATAGCCCAAAGTTGCCGTGTAAGAGAAGACGGCTCACATGACATTTGCTCCGAGCTCGCTTTCCTGCTAAAAATATCCCGGCTAAATAATATATCCTGGTTGCACTGGAGCAACAGTCCCTGACCTGAGCTCTGGGACCCTTGGGGGTTCAGTCCACAGGCTGGTCCGAAGGTGGGAGGAGGGCCCTGTGGAGGGAGTTTGCTTCTGGAAGGAGCAGTTTCGGAGGCCACGGGGAGGCACTCCTGCCTCAGCAAGTGTTGCACACCCCACAGGCCTCCTGCTGCTCATGGGGAGCGGCTATGCCTTGTCTTTAGGAGCCGCTGGCCCACGGGGTAAGACCCAAGAGGGCCCCCAATGCCCATCCTTTCCGGCTACATCGCTCCCTTGTCCCTCTTCTGTTCCTCCCTCCTCTGGCACCTTATGTCCGTGGTCCCACCTCACCTCGCCTCTTCTTAGCCCCAACCTTGGCCATGTGTTCCTGAATTGCTTGGGACAGAGAGACCTCGGCTCTTTCTGGTGGGTACAGGTGTGTGTGGAGCAGGGGTGGGGTGTAGAGAGTGGATGAGAAGTGGAATCATCCACTTTTCCAAACCCGGGCTCTTTGAACTCCTGGGAAGTCCCAAGATGGCCTCCAGGGGGTCCGAGAACAAAGATGAGAGAGGGTCTGCAGTCTTCATCAGGTTCTTGAGTGCTCCATGCTCTGACAGAGGTTGGGACCCTTCATCTAGACCCTGCATGTGATAACTATTTCGTTCAGCTTGGGGTGTGATACAGAGAGGCCCGGAATCTGGAAGACCATTTCCTACCTCCAGGGAATTTAAATTCTAAGGAACTCTGTATGCAAAGTTAGGTACATCAAAGGCTTCATCCTGAGTGGGTAGGTCTGAGATGACTAAGACTCGACATTTGTATAGAATTTTATCATGGACGAGATTTCATGATGGGACTCTGGGGAATTTAGGGCATCGGGGACGGCCTCACCAAGCCCCCAAACATCCCTTTCCTTATTCACGATGCCTGAAATCCTTTTACGTGGAGACGGATGCTTTCATTTAGCCACTGCAGAGCTGGCTTTAAATGCCCCTGTGAGAGGGCTGACACAACGAAATTCTTGCTAAAGTGTAAACAACTGATACAAGCTTTATTGCTTAAGAGCAGCTTTGGTAATGGAAGGGGCACCAGGCTAGGTCACCGAGCTGAAGACAGTCTTGGCAGAGACATTTCTGCAACTTCCACGGGCAGCCCCGCTCGTAGCATCTGCTTCCTCACGGGTCTTTGCAAACGGCAGGACCCCCAGGTGTTCGGGGATGGTCTTTCCTTCTCTTCTGCATCAGTGCAGTCACGTTCCAGCCCAGGCAGTGATACCAAACACCAAGTAATCTCATGTCACCAATCCCGAAAGTGCCGGCCACGGGCGTGGCCCCTGGCTGAGGTCCTGTCACCACCCTTTCGTCCACGTGCCTGCAGAGCGTGTATTTTTCTATGTCACGTGTCCTTCCCCATTGCAGTGTCATCCCAGCCAGAGATGGAGGTCTTGTTCACATCCCAAAGCAGAGACTGGATCTGGTCGGAAGAGGTTCCTACTTGGAGGAAAGCCTGCGCCTAAAATTCCCGAGCCCACCAGTTCCTTAACCTTCACAGTGACCGAAAACAGGGACTTTGCGTTGGTCGGCGTCCTGGCGGCTGGGGCGCTCCAGGTCCAGGTCAGGGTCTTGGTGGTGGCATTGGCTGTCCTGCCCCTTCTGGAGACCCCTTCTCCTTGGGCCACTGATGCCATGTGGAGTCAGAGACATGACAGCAGAGCTGTGGAGCCAGCAGAAAATGGACCTTTGCCACTTATAGCCCGGAAGCCTGGCACTCTTGCCAGGGTGGCCCCATGGGAGGGCAGCCACAGGACACACCCTGCCACACGCGACTAACTCCTCGTTGCCCCACAGCAATGCCAGGAGGCCCAAGGAGCTCTGGGGACGCAGGCTTTCTATAGGGTGGTCCTGAGCCTGGGGTTTGCTGAGGTGGCCGCCCCCATCCTCTGGACGGTGGAGAGCTCCTTCCACTGTGTGGGTGAGAGTCACGGTGAGGGTGTGCCTGCCGGCTCTGCCTGTGGTTCCTTCTCCCATGACAAGGCTTCCTCTTTCCCGGCCTGACAGGTCCCACACCCAACCCAGGGAAACGATGGTGTTAGGCACACTGGTTGGAACTGGCTGGGGAGTAGGAGGGCTGCGGGAGCTAGGTGGAGTCAAAGTGCCAGGGAGGGGGCGGCGGGCACATCAACTTTCTAGCTAGCTGCAGGACCTGGGCGACTCACTTCACCTTGTTGAGCCTCAGTTTCTTCCATCTGCACAATGGAAATAGCCCGGGACTTCCCTGGTGGCGCGGCGGATAAGACTAAGAGCTCCCTATGCAGGGGGTCCGGGTTCGATCCCTGGTCAGGGAACTAGATCCCACATGCATGCCGCAACTAAGGAGCCCGCCTGCCGCAACTAAGACCGGGTGCAACCAAATACATAAATCAACATTTTTTTTAAAGTGGGAATACCGCTACCTGTAGTGAGGACTGGAGATGATGGAGTTAGGAGCTCAGCAGAGTTCTTGGCACAAGATGAGCCACTTCTGTTGCGATTGTCCAGCGATCTGGCGTGGGCTCCAGTTCCACGGGTCACGTACCACAGGGATCCCCAGCCCCCGGGCCGCAGCCTGTTAGTAACTAGGCCACACAGCAGGAGGTGGACGGCAGGCGAGCGAGCAAAGCTTCATCTGCGTTTCCTCGTAGCTTGCATTACCACCTGAACAATCCCTCCGCCTTCCGTGGAAAAATTGTCTTCTGCGAAACTGGTCCCTGGTGCCTAAAAGGTCGGGGTCCGCCGACCTACAGCACGGAGTGGGCTCCTTGGCAAGGAGCACTATTTGAGGCCACTTATTTCTTTTCTTTTTTTTTTTTTTATTGGGGTATAGTTGCTTTACCACTTATTTCTTAACCAAGACAAACCCTCCTCTAAACGTGGTGTGTGTCCTCCGTGCCAGGATGCTGGGATTCAAGTCTTGAAAGGCGTTTTTGGTGAAAGCACAGCTACCAGACAACCTGGTATTCACAAAATCACTAGGAGCAGAACCCATTGAAATACAGCACAAGGAAATACACATAATTCACAAATGATGTCGATCACTTTCATCTTTGACTTCCTAACTGTCCCCAATAGAAGACAGACGCAAAGGAGATTTAACTCAGATGTGAATAGTGCAAGAATGCCCCGTTACCAGGATATGATGTTTCGGTGCCGCATAAAAATGTAATTATATTCAGAACTATATTTAAAGATTAAAAGGGGGACTGCCTACCATCCAGCCCCAAATTCAGAATTAGAAACAAAGGAAAAGGCGGGGCGGGGATGAGTTCTAACAGTCTGCTAAAAATGGAAATGTTTCCTGAAAGTTTTTACACATTTCGGCTGTTTTTATTTTAACAGTTTCCTGCAGCGATGACATTGATTTTGGAAAGGGAGGGCCAGAACTTTATCCAACAAATATTCACTAAGCATTTGCCATGCGTGAGGCCCCGTGGGAGGGAACAGAGGCCACCAGATTTGGTCCTTGCTTTCAACTAGTGGCCTGTCTGGAAGGGGAGAGAAGCAATGTCCAGAGAGTTGTAACGAGGGCAGGCGGGCTTGAGGAAGACGCCAAGGAGAAGGTGACCTTTGGCCTGGGCTTTGAGAGAGGGTAGGTTCTTGATAGGGACATAGTACCTAAAATAGAAAAATAACTGCGGCGACAGCAATAAGAACATTTTAGAAAGGCGTTTTGGCCTCTCTGGAAAGATTTACACGGGGAAAGAATGTTCTATTCCTCGTTTTATTAACTTCATATCAGCAGCCAGAATTAACCTCTCCCTTCCCTGGTTTCCAGCACACCTTCCCTGCACCTCCCCTGCAGCTTCTCCTCTTATTGTTAGTGGTACATGCTCTTGGCTCTCCCTGTGGTCCATGAACTCCTTGCCATCAGGGGCTCTGCTCTATTCAGCATTTTACTCTTCATGGGCCTTATCATACTGCCTTGCCCTTGGTAAGCACTTAATACATGCTTGTTGGATTGAATTTTCACCAGGCATTTAAAAAAAAATGTTTTAGACAAAGAACATTTCTCTGGGATAAAATGTGGCGAATATGTTGGAATATTAGGGCACCAGGATTGCCTAAGCACTTGGTGGTTACAGATTTTTTAAAATCTCCTTCCTCTCCGCCAAAAAGTGATTAGAACCTGTGGGAGAAATCCTAATTATGTAAGGTCGGAAGTGTCAAGAGCAGTGGAGGCAATGGAGTGCCCAGCCTAAGAGAAGCCAAGAGAGTGGTTTAGCTACAGCTGTTTTACATCGTAAAGCAGGGGTTACTGGCAAAAATGCCTCTAGGGGTCAGGCAGGGAGTGTAAAGGAATGAGGGTAAGAAAATCCATGGCTCAAGGGTAGGATGCCAAAGCTCAGTGTAGGAGCCAGTGGGGAGTGGTGGGGACTCCAGTGGTGAACTACCAGCCACCAGTTGTTTTTTTTTTTTCTTTTTTAAAATTTTTGTCTGCATTGTGTCTTTGTTGCTGCGCACGACTTTCTCTAGTTGCAGCAAGCAGGCGCTACTCTTCGTTGCGGTGCGCGGGCTTCTCATTGCGGTGGCTTCTCTTGTTGCGGAGCACGGGCTCTAGTCACCCAGGCTTCAGTAGTTGTGGCACGCGGGCTCAGTAGTTGTGGCTTGTGGGCCCTAGAGCCCAGTCTCAGTAGTTGTGGCACACGGGCTTAGTTGCTCCACGGTGTGTGGGGTCTTCCCGGACCAGGGCTCGAACCCGTGTCCCCTGCATTGGCAGGCGGATTCTTAACCACTGCGCCGCCACCAGGGAAGTCCCACCAGACCCTTTTCAAGAGAGTAGTCTCATTTAAGTGGAGCCGATTCCTGCCTTGTAGGGAGGCAGTCCAGTGTGGCCAAATCTTCTGACTTTCCAGGAGAAGCCGGAAAATTATAAAATTTTGTCAGTTAATTTTAAAATATTTAAAACCCTCTGCAGGCCAAACCAAACATGTCTAAGGGCTGTATTTGACCCGTGAGCCAGAATTTGCAACTGGGGGTGCATTTTTGCCTCCCGGGGGGATATTTAGCAATGTCTGGAGACATTTTTGATTGTCACAACGCAGGGGGACGCTACGAGCATGTGGTGGGTAGAGGCCAGGGATCCTCCTAAACATCCTACAGTGCACAGGAGCCCTCTTCCCGACACAACAAAGAATGATCTTGCCCAGGATGTCAACGGGGTCGAGGCAGAGTCTGGGTCTGTGAGGTTCCTGGGGCTGGGCTGATGGATTTGGCCTCAGAATAGGGAATGGCCCAGAGACGACACTGGCTGGTGGCATCAAGCAGAGTCAGAGAGTCAGGGACAGGGGCTCTTTAGAGAAAACCTGAAATCCTATGATTCAATTTCAGAAATAGGGACTTCCCTGGTGGTGCAGTGGTTGGGACTCCGCGCTCCCAGTGCAGGGGGCCCGGGTTCCATCCCTGGTCAGGGAACTAGATCCCACACACATGCCGCGACTAAGACCCGGCGCAACCAAATAAATAAATAAAATAAAAATTAAAAAAAAAAAAGAAATAGATTTTGATGCCTGCATGATCTCAAAAAGGACTCCAGGTCAAAGGTCTGTGAAATTCAGCCAAGGAGGACAGTTCCTAGTCCGGTGCTTGAACTTGACCTCTAAAGCCTCTATTTCCCCGCCTGTAAAGAGGGGACCCATGTGGCCCCTCCAGCAGGGTGTTGGGAGGATTCTGCTCCCGTAGGAGGAGGACTGACCTCTGCTTCCTTTCTGGGAGGTTTAGGAAGGGAGCTGCCACGCCAAGGACCACTCCCCAGCAGGAGCCCCTCCAGGAGGAATACGATCTGCTGCCTTTTCCCAGTTCCAAACTGCAGGACCAGTTGCCTTTGGAGGCCTCCGGGAAGGGTTTCCTCAGAGTTTCGCTCACTAGCCTTCCCGTGCACTGACCAATGGAAGTCCCTTGCCCTGACTTCCACCCACGGTTTCCCTTGAAGGGTGCATCCCCACGAGGCGTCAGTGGACCCAGCCAGGCACGAGGCCCCTCTCTTTCACCACCGCTCTGCCAAAGGGAGTCCCACTCAGACCTCCGGCCATGTCTCCTCCTCTTCAAATTCCGACCGTTCCCCAGAGAAAGCGGGGCTCCCCGAGAGCTCCCACCTGAGCGCAGCCCAGCTGTCCTGCCTGGCTCACAGCCACGCAGGGCCTTGGGACCCGGCACAAGGAGGTGGAGGGGAGGGCCCGTGGTGGTGCACACAGACAGGAGGGAAACCGAGGCACGCTTCAAAGGAGCTGGGGCCCAGGAGCCAGGCTGGAGCCCAGAAGCCAGGCCTGGAGAGCCAGCCCGAGGTCGCAGCTGCCACAGGCCTTTCCGCGGGCTGCCATCCTCAGGGTGGCCGAAACCACATCCTTTTATTTCTGATGCTTTTTCTCTCTCCACTGTTCTCTCGCTGAAGAAGGGGCTTGGACCTTTTCTGCAAACAGCCAAACCTGTGGAAGAAGGTGGACATCTATTGGCTTCCTTTTTCCCTTTCCCAGAGGGTCAGCTCCCCCAGGGAAAGTGGGGTGACCTGGACCCCCTGCCTGCAGCTGTACTGTCCTCAGCGTCCATAGTAGTTGTCCAGTCCTCCGGCCCCTGGGCCTGGACCATGCCTTTGTCCTCAGATGTCTCATTTCCAGCTGCCTCTCTGGGGGTCCCAATAGTCTCAGGCCTTCTGTTACCCTAACTGGCAGTCTAGGAGCAGAGCCCCGCCTAGCTACCAGGAAGTCCCCTCCTGCTGGAAGGTTGTCACAGGGGCATGTGGCTGCCTACTAGCCCATGCGGGGGCCCTGGCAGGCCAGCAAGGAGGCCCAGCCATTGACAAAGCCCTTGATGACCAGCCTGGCTGAAGAGGTGCTGTGTTCCCGCCGCTCGCCTGGAGAGCCCCCGGAAACATCCTCCAGGATGGAAGCTGGGGGGCTACCCAGGGAGGGGCCAGAGGGCACCTGGACCTCTCGTTCCCAGAACCAAGTCAGGACCTGGAGGGGACGCACCCTCCTTCTGGGGATGGATGCCACAGCACTGCCCCAGTGGTGAATACTTCCAAGGTGTGGTGGCGGCAGCCAGGCCCCAGTGGCCGTCTGAGGGCCTCAGGACCGGAGCGCAAGGGGAGGCACAGGGAGGGCCCAGCAGGGCCCTGCCAATTCTTACTGCTGAGCAGCTGCCAGCAGAGTGCAGCCACCTGACAGCTCTTCCCAAGAGCCATCCGGCCTCCGCCTCCGAGAAGCCCACTGCCTCATCTGTGGGAAAGTCAGGTAGAGCCTGAGGCCTTAAGTCAGCCTGTAGCTGGCCAGTGGGGCAGGCTGAGAGGGGGGCCACACACACGTCCAGCAACCTCAGAGCTCCCACGGACATTTCCTCATCCAGCCTGGCCGAGCCTAGAGACCCTTTCACCGCTGGCCAGGGTAGCCCCCGGCAGGAGCCAGCAGAGCCCACATTGGCAACCAGCCCTGAGAGGCACAGGCCTCCTGAGCTTCAGAACATCGCGGAGGGGCTTCTGAGAGACCCCCTTGCTGGGGTGAGTCCTGGAAGCACCCCAGGGGATGCCAAATGTGGAACAGTGTGGTGGGCAGCATCGGGGCATGCCTCCCACCCGCGTGGACTGCCCACGAGTGCAGGCCCCAGCGTTTTTGGGCTTGCCCTTTCGCTGTTAGATGTGTGAGGCATGGGGGAGGGGAAAGTTTGCAGGCTCTGCAGCCAGGCTGCCGTGGTTCAAGGCCCAGTCCTTTCACTCTTTATCTGTGTGACCTTGGGCAAGGCATTAACCTCTCTGTGCCTCAGTTTCCCGATCAGTCAAATAGGGGGTGATAATAGTTCTTCCCAATGGGTCTGTTTAGGGGCAAGCAGGAAGATGGACACAGGCCTCTAGCTCAGAACCAGTGAGCCATTCTTTATTTTTTTTGCGGTACGCGGGCCTCTCACTGTTGTGGCCTCTCCCGTTGCGGAGCACAGGCTCCGGACGCGCAGGCTCAGCGGCCATGGCTCACGGGCCCAGCCGCTCCGCGGCATGTGGGATCTTCCCGGACCAGGGCACGAACCCGTATCCCCTGCATCGGCAGGCAGACTCTCAACCACTGCGCCACCAGGGAAGCCCAAGTGAGTCATTCTTGAGGTCATTACTGCTGCCGTCCTGGCAAATCAGAGAAGCTGAGCAGTTGGGCTCCCAGGCCCAGGCGGAGGGGATGTTTGCTTATTCCAGGAGAGCATGGAAAGCCTTCAGCCATAGTTCAGACATCCTTCTGAGAAGGTAGGTGGTGATAAGATCCTACGATGTGAGAAGCCCTCTCTCTCCCCTGGGCCCCAGGGGGCCATGACCCCAGGTCTCTAAAGAACCCCCTGAGTGTTACTGCTTTGTTTTCATGACTCACCGCTCCCTTCCTTTTGTTTCCATGGCAGCAGCTGGTACCCTGCTGGCTTGAACAGCTCCGGTGACCCCTGTTGACCCCCAGGGGTGCCAGTGTTCCCAGGCTCCCTGGCCCAGAAGCCCAGCTGTGGCCTGAGCTAGAGTGGTACCCAGTGCTTCCCTGGAAGGGTAGCAACCCTACCCCCACTCCCAGGCCGGCCCATCACTGGAAGAGGGATTTGAAACGCAGCCAAGAAGAGGCCTTCGGCAACGCCCGGATCGTGAAATAAATAAATAAATAAATAAATAATCAGGGTTGTCTTGGCTGATGAACGGTCTCTGCCTCGAGGACGACTTCTCCCCCTGCCCGCCCTCCCTCTTCCTCCTTCTCCGGGCAGATCCATCCCAAGCAAAAGCTTAATAGCCCCATTTAAGGCTTTTCCTTTTCACCACGGAATTGAGCTGCTCCTGCCATTACGAGGTTTTCAGCTTCTCTCTGAAATCAAATTACTGACTCCATTTAATTTTTTAAAAGCTCGGATGATTTCCTTTCTTGACTCGGAGCCGTGACTGCAAGCCCGGCCCCCTCCTCATCCCCCAGCCCTGCCAGGCGTTTCCCCGGGAAGGCCGCCCCCATGCCAGGGCAAGCCTGACACCTAGAGGGGAAGCCAGCAGGAGGAGGACCAAGCCTCTGACCACTGCCCTGGACACCTGACTGGGTGGCCTGGACTGGTGAAGAAGGAAGGCCTTGACCTCCTCTAAGGCTGGCTCAGCTCGTAGGAGCCCGTGGCTTCGGGGCTACAAGGTCTTCAGAGGCTGGTGGGGAAGTTGTTTAGAGCCCAGCGCTGAGGTCGTGGGCTTACCGTTGGCTGGTTCCCCGGATCACTTGCCTTTCCGTAGAGCGTCTCCTGGACCCTACGGCTAGGTTACGGAGCGCGTCCTCTGTGCAGACACCGATCCAGCTTGGAAGGGAAGGGTGAATCGGACAGAGAAAGGCCCACGTGCTCGTGTGTGAAGGGGCAGGGAGACTGACAATAAACATATGCATGGATGTTTTCACACCAAGTGCTCTGAAGAGTCCTAAACATGCAACGTCGGTGGGGGCAGGTTGTGGGCTGCTTTGGGTGGGATGGCGGGGACAGCCCCCCCGAGGAAGTAAATCTGGAAAGGGCTGGGGCAAGGGTATCCACGCAGAGGCACGGCAAGTTCCAGAGTCCTGGGGAGGGTTGGAGGAACTGAAAGACGGCCATCTGACAGGAGGAAGTGGAAGGGACCAGGGGCCTGCAGGGCCTGAAGCCTGAGGTAGGAGACCAGCTTTATTCTGGCTTTAAAAGGCTGGACATCAGAGGGACAAGACGAGCAGCAGGGGGACAAGGTGGGGGGGATGAGAGAGGCCCCGTGAGAAGTGACTCCAAGGGGTCCTTGTTGAGGGCTTGTGCCACTCCTGCCCTGCACCTGGAGGACTCCATGGCCGCTGGTGATGTTTGAGACGTGTTCACATCTACCTCAACACCGGCCTGCAGTGTTTCTACTAGGACTCAGTCTCTGTCTCAAGTCTGTCTCTCCTCCACCCCCGATCACCTCTTCCCTTCTTTGTCTCTGCAGAGACACTCAGCTTGGGGACCTCGTAGACCAGGGGCACATACCCACCCCAGAAAGTCCTGCCAACCAGGCTGACCCTTTACCAATCCCGCTCACGTTTAACCACCCGCGCCCTTGGAGATGAGACACCAGGAGTGGAGTTAATGAAATCGCCTGCCTTTACCTGGCATAAACGGCGCTTCACCCCCCAGGCAGGTGGCGATTTGCAAGGCTGAGAGGGTCTGGGCATTAACTGTTCTGGGCACTCTTCCCAGCTCAGCGTTCTGCACAGCTGGAACAAACCACTTTTCTTCTCTTCCTTCCCTTTGCTCCACTCCACCTCGGCTCAAAACCCGGACAGTCGTGTTTAATTAGAAAGTGATTGGAGTTCTCCGGAGGTCTCCTGTTCTCCCTCAACACGGGACAACCCCAGATCTGTGACCAGGGCTCCGGGTCCGCCAGGGCCTGGGTGGCTCCTGGGTCTGACCCACAGTCATGATGTACACGTGCGTCAGTGTTTTCTCTGCCCTGGGGACCTCCGGTTTTCCTGTTGAGACCTCCCCGGTCGGTCATGCGGTCATTTGTTTATGGCTGACAGCTGACACGTCTGTGATCAGCGAAATCCTGGCAGAGGGCAGCTCTGCCACTCCCGGTCAGTGGCCTGCCAGGTGGGATCTCAGGCAACCTGGGATTTGGGGGTAATTAGAAATCGGGCCCCCCCCACCCCCCCCGCAGCTTGGATCCTCAGCATTCCCCACACGACTCTGTGTGTCAAGTCCAGGGTCTGTGATGCGTTTATTGTCCTTCTCTCCTGTGACAGGGAACAGCCACTGGTCCAGTTTCCCTTTTGGGTTTTCCTCCTTGAGCACAAAGCCAGTTTTCACACCCTGAAACATCCAGGCTCCTTGTTTTTCCCTCGTTGAAGGTCTCGAATTTCCAGATTTTAGATGCTTCCCACGTCAGACCTCTTCCATCACAACACGCTCCTTCAGCCTTAGCTGCAAGTCTCTGTTGGGTATTTGAATATTACTTAAACTGGAATTGGAGTAGTCAATTTAGTAATCCTCCAAATTACTGCGTAACCAGAGAGGCGGCGTGGTGGTGGGTGTCCTTCTGGGTGTCCTGCCCAAGCTGTGTGACCTTGAGCAAATCAGTTCACTTCTCTGAGCTCCTGCTTCAGCATGGGGTTTTTGGAAACAGGAGTAGTCGTCCAGGCGACCTCCGCTCTAGGGTGAAGTGGGGGTCAGCCCCTGAAGATGACAAGTCAGAAGTCTCTAACGCAGCTCTGAGAGAACCCCTCACCCCGGAGGGTCCATCCTCCCCAGCTCAGCCCACCTCCTGACACTCCTGCTGCTGGTCTGGTCTCTGGGGGTGGGGCTGCCGGAGACCTCAGGCCAAGCCAGTGGGGGGACAAGATGGGGTGATGTGGACCGATGCTCATTCCCACGGAGCTGGCTACAGCCCAGCCCCACCTGGCACCACAGGTGACCTTCCCCCTCCTCCTCATTCCTCTCCTGAGGCCCAGGCTGTGCTACCTCACATCCCAGATCTCAGAAGCCTTGGAATGGTGGCTCTCAAAGTGGGGTCCCCGGACAAGCAGCATCAGCTTCGCCTGAGAACTCGTGAAAAACGCAAACTCTTGGACCTACAGTTCCAGGGACTCACGGGGTGGGACCCAGCAATCTGTGTGTGAACAAGTCCTCCAGGTGATTCTGATGCACATGGCAGTTGAGGACCACTGCCTGGGAGAATCTGTGCCAGGGACACCTCCCAGAGTCAGAGAATTCCTCTGCCTTCATACAAAAGCGGTACTTGCACTTCTACAACGTCCAGGTACTTTCCACCTCTCTCTGCTCATGGCATCTAGCACCATCGCTCTGGGGAAGAGAAGGATTGTTCTTCCCATTTTACAGACCAGGAAACTTGGCCTTACCCAAGGTCACACAGCTAATAGGAGAGAGAACCAGGGCTCAAACCCTGGCCTCCTCATTCCAAGGCCAGGGCTCCCTCCTGCACACCTTGTGTTTCTGCGGCTCCTTAGACCGAAGGAATAAACACATGTCCTTTGGCGAGAAAGGAAATTCCTCCCTACAGCCCCCTCTCCCCAATTTCCAGCTGCTATCCCAAGAGAAGGCATCCAGGAAGCATAAATTTTGCCTGACGGCTGAATAAGAGCTCTGAAAGGAGTTACACGTCAGGGAGATGGGACTTTATTTCTCAATGAAATAGCCTTTTTATGGTTGGAATAAAAGTGCCAGTGGGAGCCTAATGCCAGGAAGTAGCGAGCACATTTGATAAACTCCTTCAGCCAGGGGTGGGGCAGCCCAGGAGGGGGTGCCGGAGAGCGGGCCCCATGTTTCCAGATGCGAGTTTCTATTTAGGTTAGAGCCTGGAGGCTTCCTGGGGTCCCTCTCGCGAACCCTGCAGCTGGAGACGGGCTGACCCTGGACCGGGCCAGCTCTTTTGCTCAGCCGCTGGGTCCTGAGCGGGGCTGCAGTGTGGAGAGCAGGCAGCAGGGGGCAGCATAACCCACCGTTCCAGCCGGGAGAGTGGCCGCTGGGTGGGGGGCAATAGCAGGGGGGGTCTCAGAGGCTTAGCCCTCAGAGCGGGTCATCAGCAGCCCACCCCCCCTTACCCTGGTCCTCTTCCTCCTCCCTGGGCCCTTCCCATCCTCAGCCCCTTCGAAGGACAGTTTGTCACCCGTACCCTGCCTGCAGCCCCTGCCGGACCCAAATCTTAACTGGGGTGGGCGTGAGTGGGGGGTGGGAGGGTCTCCATCCCCATGCCTACCCTCCGGCCGGTTTCTAGAAACTTCTCCAGGCTTGGCTTTGGACCTGATTAACCCCTTGTCTTCCTTCTGAGGGACCTCTTGAGGAGTTCAGAGTGTCTGTGTGTGGGCAGGTGGCTTTTATGGGGGGGGGACCACAGCCTTCATGGTCCCTGGGGGCAGGAGAAAACCCTGAAGGACAAAGAGAAAGCGAGGAGACCTCCTCATTTGAGAATGTGTGTGATTGGCAGGTTTACGGCCTCGGGAAGGTGCGTGGTATTCCGCACAATCAAGTCATTTTTAAAAATAATCTCCCTGCTTAAGTCGTACACGCTGCTAATTGCATTTTAATAAGTCTCTTAAGATCTTGCCATATTTTTTAATATCCTAATAGTAGGTAAGTGATTGCGGGGGACACTGGAGGGCACGGGGAGTTTATGTAAGGGAAGGAGGGCTGTAATGAAGCTGGGGGTGGCGGGGGCCAGGTGGCCTGTGATGTGTGTCTGTGTGTGTTACGACGTGTGTGATGGGGGGCGGTGAGTGTGTGTCCATCTGAGAGTGGATATGATGTGTGCGTGTGCGGGTGTCCATAGACCAGGCTTCCCCTCTGACCCAGTCCATCCTATCCTCTTTTTTCCGAGGATGAGGGTCCTGAGCTCAGAGAGGGAATGTGATGGGCCCAGGGCCATGTAGCAAGAGAGACACCCATGGGGGAGTTCCAACCCCAGTCTTGTGAGAGCGGGGGCAGGGCCACCTTTGCACCATCCCAGTCACGGCACCTTTGCACACAGCCTTCCCCACGCTGCTCACTAACACGTGCAGAGGGAAAAGGGGGGGAGCTTCCAATGGGAGGTTGTGGGCATCCCACAGTGAATAAGTGCAGAGCTGGGATTTGAACTCACAGTCGGCTCATGGGCCTGGGGGAAGCTCTTAACTATGATTGGATGGGAGGCTGAGCTGAGGTCCAAACACTTCCTGCATCTCCAAGGATCCAGGACCAGTGAGGACCAAGTTGCGAGCAGCAGAGGCAACTGGCAGAGGCCGGGAGGGAGGTCGATGGTGGCTGGCTGTGGTCTCATTTGCTCA